CACCGTGAGATCTGCACATTTGTCATCACCACAGTCCATCTAGTTGTGTTAACACTTGTCCTGTCCTCTAACGCTCATACAAGTATAAATCTGGACCAAGTTTACTTAGGGTTTCAACTGAGATGGCTGGCCTGGCATTGAGTTCAGTCTGCAGCCTGAGCAAAAGGTTTTGCTGGGGCTAGTTTTTTTTTTCTCAGCTGATTCCAAATCCCGTCCCTGCACCCTGACTTCTTGTCAGAGTGTCTCTCTCACCAAGAGAGATTATCTCTGCTATAATAAATCCAATTTCTGTCAATTCCTTCACTCAACAAACCTATTTTAAGAAAATAGGATTACCCAAGTTAAATATAGAAATGAGTCCTGCCTCCTGCTGTTGTAGATATATAGCACTCCCAGTCAAGGACGCTGTTACAAGTATTAATGCTTAGCTTTTTAGACAAAAGGTCCATCATGCTGTAATTCCTGGACTCCAGGATCCTGGCTGTCTAGTGTCTGAGGACAAACTGTGGGTCTGTATAGGATGATACTGATTTCAACAGGGATCTGTACAGAAGACATATTTCCTTTGCTCTATTAGCTTCACTTTACCTTCTTTGGCTATGAAAGAGCAAAATATTTTTAAAACAAATCCCTATCTTTCCAATGAATTTGCCCAGTTTGGCAGGTGTTGGCAAGAAAGATATTAACAGCTGGTTCTAGGCTCTTGCTTCAGTTGCCTTTGGTTATGGGCATTCAACCAATTTTTCCTAATGCTCTCATTTCCTTTCAGCTCTCATTTCAGATCTCCTTTTTTTTTTTTTTTTTTTTTTTCAAACTAAAGGGAAGAAATAAGTGGTTAGCTAGTAGCAAATATAAATAAAATAATATCTCATATTTAAGGGTAATTAAAACCTACTCGGTATTTGTATACCAAAATGGAAACATTTGAGAAACAAATATACCAATACAAATGCATACTGAGTGTAACTTGCTGATGGATTGTGACTTGCTGATGCAGCTTGTTAATACACCAAACCAAACAATTCTGTTCTTGGTTTCCCTTTAGAAAATGCATAATAATTTAAGTGTAGAGTTTTGGTTTTATACCTGCTAATGCCAGTAGAAAAGATCAATGCTTTTCATGATTCAGTGCCTTTTTCACCAGTGACAAGGAAGAATTCTCCTTTGTTGGTTCTAACTGGATGCTGGTAATCACTGGAAGATACCAGATTTTTCCAGTGACAGTTTCAGAAATAATGGAAGAAGAACAAGAGGAGTAAGGAACTGATTTACGAACAAACTTGCAAAACACTTTTGAAACCTGCCTGTTGTTGTAGTGAATTTTGCCTTGGACTAGAGCCTACACAGTTCTTCTTCACTAATTAAAAACAAATACCCATTCTTAGGTCCTGTCCCTTCCCTTTTTCTTCCTTTTTTCAACCATTTGTATTTTATTAAGTATAGCACATCTAGTAATTCCTGTATGCAATGTGAAGAGGACTCAATTTCATCCCTAAACTGTATTTGTCCTTCTTACTTTGCTAACTGTATTTAGCATGCCTAAAATCTGTAACAATCAATGAGGCACTACTGACTAGTGCTAGATGCTCAGAATGACTGAGTTTAGGTGTTTATAGTGTTGGGACGTGTTGGGACTGAGCGTTACATAGCTCAGATTCCTTAAATTTACTCGAGGTCAAATGCATCACGTTTTTTTTTTTTTTCAGCAATGATTGACAGTAATATAGAAGCAGCATTTTATTTTTAGCTGTTTGCATCAGATACGTGTGCTTTTTTTTTCCTATAATCCCACTTTATGAAGATACAGTTGTAAGCACCTGAGCTTTTCAGACCCAGCACCAAGGATTCAACCTGAAGTCTGTATTTATTACCTGTGTGGCCAGAAGTCAAGCACAGTTGCCGATTCCCTTTGACTGTCAGTCTTTGATGGAATTGGCTTCTGCAAGTGCTGCCATCCACGGTGTCAGCCTTCCTGGGATAGCGAGTATCACTCTGGAGCTTCACTCGTAAATGCTGGTGTTAAGCAATTGCTTATCTGTTCTAGGGAGTTTACTCTAACATTTTTAACTTACTCAGTTTGTGTGTAATGTTGTTAGATGAGTCATGAGACATTATGAAATCCGGAAGTTATCATACTGGATTAGAGCAGAGGTCCTTCACAGTCAGTGCTCTGTCTTGGCAGAATCCAATATTGGGTCATTCAAAAGAAAGTGCAGTAAATGGTGGTCTGCTGCCCAGGGCAGCTGCTAGCTTCTGCCTCTCATAAATGGAATACAATTTGTCTCCTGAAATATGAAAATGAATATGCATTCCAAACCCTTAGAGTTTTTCTTCTCTTTATTAAAGGACCTGCCTGTATCTGTAACCTGTGGTTATGCCCTTTCTTTTCCCAGTCCTACCGAGGTCTTCAATCTTGTTTCTGTATCACATTTAACAGACATTTCATTGTATTCAAGCTTACTTCCTTTCAGTATTGTGAAAACTCTTGGTCACAGCTATTCAGCTCTCCCGATTAAATTCTTTTCTAATATTGTATGTTATTTTTTATTCCTAATATGTCTGTTCTTACTAATCTTCAGTCCAAATCTGGGAGCCCCAATGGTTCAGTATGGCAGTCTTTTCCATGCCTCTTCTTATTTTGCCACTGAATCCTGCATTTCTGCTGTCTTAGCCTTAAATCAGTGCTGACCAGACTTTCTGCTCTCCATTGCCCTTCTTCTCAAAAACTCCTCAAACCCGAGCATGGTGCCATCTGTCTCAGGGTTTCCTCAGTCCTTCTCCCATCCCTTGATCAGATGTGTGCCTGCTTCTCTTGCCCAGGAAAAATGAGTCTGCTTCTGCCAGATGTCTTCATCCAACCCTGAACCTGCTACTAAGCGACCACAAAGAAAGAGCGTCCCTACGAACAGGCTTCAGATTGGATGAATTTCATAAGTGGGCCATGAACAGCCCAAGAATTGTAGATTTAACAAATTTTTTTAGTCAGAATACTCAGAAATGAACCTGACATGACAGGTTTACTATTGTCTTGTACAGCTGAATTGTAAGCTTTTCAGTAATATGTTTATCTTTCTTGTTCCTTTAATTATAGTCATTAAAAGATTGTCCAAAGATCTTTGGAAGATCATGGAAGTAGGATGTTTTGCATGTGGCTTGGAAAGGAGAGCTGATTCCAACTTTTTGTTAGTCATAACTAGATCTGTAAGTCCGCATGATTAAAATAAAAAGGGAGTTCTCTTGCTGCCACCACAGTCACTGGACAATAATTTGAGATGAGTTTACAAACTGGGCCATGGACCAGCAAGTGATTACAGTCATCTGATGGTTTCACACAGTCCCAGTGATGCAGGAATTGGGCACGGAGCAGCCCCCCACCCCGGTGAGGAAGATGTGCCCTGCAGCTGGCAGTCACTCAGTGGCACGCACAGCTACTGCGCACCCTCCACGCTGGCAGGCTCCGCTGGCAGCTACAGCCAGACATCAGCTCCAGAAAATAGCCCAGCTTCTGACCTTACAGCCTTCCTTACATCAGGAGATGAGGTACAACTACACTACTGCAGTCAAGAGATCTGCTGTCTGTCCTGTACCTGCAGTGTGTATTGCCAGAAGCTTAATGGCCAATCTGCCTGCTGGCTTTGCTGGTGTGTGTGTGTGACCAGAGCTGTAGCTCGGATTTTGTTCCTGAGGCTGTGCCAGAGCATGTCTTGCTGTGCACACCTTCTTAGCAAAAGGGACACAGTCCACCCTGTGCAGTACAAGCGGCTGCCAATAACCTACTTGCTCTCCTTCTTTAAATATACCTGGTTTGTTGGCCTTTTCGGGCTACTGCAGAGTCCATAAGAATAAGTGGGGAAGGGCAAAGCATCTCAAGGTAGGATGTTTGAGGAGAGGAATATGAGGGGTGAGGAGGCTCTACCCTAGTTTGTGACACCAGGGCATTTGTATGAGGGAGGGTTAAAATGCTTTGTTTCACTTTTGAAAGTATTTTGGGGTATTTTGTTTTACATTCCCTTTGAACTGATAGCAAGGGTGCTTACTGCTTGGAACTGGCACTTTAACCATTACATTTGTTTAAACCCAATCTGGGATAACTGAAAAGTTTTTAATTGGGCACAGGAAAATTAGGTGCCAGATTGTGCCCTGGTGTTGACTATACATGGAGAATAGACTTGGGAGTCTTCTATAAGTATTCAGTGGGAATCAGTGGAACATAACTCAAAACCAGCAAAAACTAAAAATTACCTCCTAGTGCAATCAACAAATAACCTACAGGATTGGGCTGAAAAAGAGAAAGTATGTGCAGATTTTAGCAAAGACTCTTCAGCAGCAGATGTCTGGGACATACGATCATATGACATCCATAAGTCTCCAGATTAATTAGAGGCTTTGTGCCTTTAATCATGGATGCCCCAGGCAGAAGTCCATCGTGTTTGCTAACATCTTGAGCCTTCATCCACATGGTCAGGTATGCCAAGGGTGCCAGTAGCTCCCCAGCAACGTGATTCCAGTGATGACCTATGGCAAAGACATGCTGTTGATTGCCAGTGCAAATAAAACTGTTTTGAGGTCCGTGTAATCTCCCAAGGTTTGGACACCAATCTTTTCAAGCTGTTCACAAGACAGATCGAAGGGTACTCCTTCAGTCCTTTCAGGTCTGACTGATCTGTAGTTAGTGTAACACAAATCACATAGTTTTGCTTATCACCTGTGGTACAGATATTTGTACAAATTAAGAAAACCAGAAGCATTCCCCTAAAAAGGGAGCTGCAGCAAAGAGTCTAGAGAGAGGCCAACTAATGATGGAGGAATTAATAATAGTCCCAAACAGTGACAAGAAAAGGGACTGGGTGAGTGTCAAAGGGTCAAAACTAAAAACAGAGCACCAAAGGTGAAATCGGAGCTGAGTGTCCACCACAGTACCCATTCCTTCCTGAAAGCATCCGAGGAGCAACCAGGCAAAGGCAGGACAGGGAGAGGAAATCAGGCCTGAGCCCACCAGGATGGCTGCCATCAGCCTTTTCTCTCCGGGTGCCCTGGACATCTGGCGAGGCCAGGGACAGAGGGGAAAGGAGCTGGTGAAGGTCTCCTCTAACGTAGAGAGGCCTTTGGTTGAGAAGGTACCAATAAAGCAGTGAGAAGTACAGACAGCACCTCAGCAATGGGGTTTCAGGGAGCGAGAAAAGGGGCTGTGACATGTGCTCTCAATGTAGCAGGGTGCCTTTCCCCTGCAGGAGGGACACGGTTTGCCTGCCTGTGTGACCCCTGCAACGGTGGTTTGTGGGGTATTTTCCAATGCATGGCTCCAGCTATGGAGTCAGCTCAGCATACGTGTAATCTGTGAGGGCTCTGAAGGCACCACCCTTACAGGAGCCTGGCTGCCTGGCCTCACTTGGACGACCAGCCCTCCTCACCTTTTGTATGTCTGGGTGGGACAAGCGAAGAACCAGGGCGTGTGGAGCCCAGACCATGTGGAAATGGTTCTCAGCTATCATTCAACACGATGGTTCATCCTCACCAGGGATGCAGGGCGGGCCTGCCCTCCATCCTTCAAGGAGAGACAAAAATCCCTGCAGGAACTCAGAGCAGCCCTGGTCAGGAGAAGTCCATAACTCTCTTCTGGAGGTTGGCCAGGGTCACAGGAGATGGGCCAAGGCACTCAGACAGTGCCCTGGCATGAGTAGGACAAGCTGGATTATGGCCAGCACCTGTCTTTCAAAGCAAAAGGCACCACATCAGCCCTGCCTGCCTTAGCAATATCTCTAATTCCTAGCCCCTAGTTCATCCCAGTTAGACCCAGGGCAGAGGGCCTGGTGGCAGAGGGCTAGATGGGCAGATGCAGTGGTAGGCTGGTGACCCAGAGAGTGTCAGAGAGCCAGGTGCCCCCCATTCTCAGTTGCCTGCCCTGACCCCTTGACCCAGGTGCCCCAGGTGGGAAACACCTCATAAGGACTGGAAACAGCTCGAGTTTCCAGACTGGAAAACATGAGCTGCTACTACCTGAACTGCTGCGTCTGGGCCCTGGAGAGGAGAAGACACAGCAGCAGCATCAACATCTCCAATTAACAAGCTGTTGAAGGAGGACTGAGAGCCTATTCTTAGCTGATTGCGGTAACATTTGTGAAAAGATTTCCACCTTCTGTGGGAAGAAGAGCAAACCTATAGTTTCCCCCTGTTTGGGTGAGGGTCTCTGGAGGTTTCAAGGAGCTGGACTAATACCTTTAAGATGAAATTTAATACAATGTCAAATGATTTTCCCTTCTAAACCTGTTCTTCTGGAAAATAAATGATGGAGAAGATGAATTATTTATTATTCACTCATTTAAAAAGAAGCTGTTTGCAATGGTTTAGTCAGATGCAGTGCCTTTGGCCAGTAAAGATAATAAAGGAATAAAGGATTAGTCATCAATACTGCACTGAAAGAAAAAGGTCAAATTTGTCATTGGTCTAATCCAAAAGGCCGGTTTTTGTTCTGTTATTCTAAAATGGTGGCCTTCAGTCCCGCTTTGATTTTCACACTGCAAAATAATTCCGTCAGAGATGCAGACTCTTCTATAGAATATTTAAACCTATTAAATGTCCTTGCTTTATCTCAGTTGCTTTTTCAAGACCCATCAGGAATAGTTTATGTACCCTCAAGTAGGTATGTTGTACAAGCTGACAAGTGCTGTGTTAAAACAAAGACTTAGGCATTGTTCAGATACAGAGAACTGAATCTGGGCTCTGGATTTACAGACCCAAGCAGATTTTCTCAGAGGAGTTTCTCCACAAAAAAGATTCTTGGATGAAATCCTGACTTGGATTTTCAAAACTGCTACGAGGCGGGATTTCAGCAATGCCAGGATTTCACTCCTTCAACAAAAGAAGATCTGATGCCTCCTGGCTCTCCTGTGATTGTACTTATACTTTGCATGCTGGTTCTTTCTGTCCTCCATCCATGGTAGATAGGTCTGCTGCTGATTTTTGCCCTCCTGTTACTGCAGGACAAGCCACCTTCAAGGGCCTATAACCTTTATCCTGAAACAGCGGCACCATGGCAACAATCAACTTCGCTGTGAGCTGAGAAATGCCAGCTCATGCTAGAAACTTCTGTTTGTATCAGCTGTAAAAATTAAGAGACTCTCAAACATAACTGGTTTTGAGAAAGGATAAAGCAGTGCAAGTCCCACTCCAATCTGCTGTATAAATTCCCCTCCTAAACTCACTTTGTGTGGTTTGATATCATTCTCTCTTCCATGCAATTTGCTTTCTCGAAGTTTTCATTTGCAAGTTTCTCACTTATTCTCATAGCTGTTCAGGTCCAATTTGTCAATATTACTTCAACAGGCAGGTCAGATTGCTCAAGCTGGCCTGGCCTACCATCCCATTCCTGAAGGGCAATAATTATTGGAAACATTACTCCAAAATGCATTTCTTTCCATACTGTAATAAATATGACAAACATGATATCACTGTCTGAAAAATATTCTCTGTACCTCTTAGGTTTCACTATACTTAGAAATATTTAGCACTTCTGCATCACAACTGTTTTAGTTGCTGGATAACTGGCTTACCTTGCTTTGGAAAGCAGTGAATACAATAACATGTTGTTGCTTGTAGTCTGCTTACTCACTTTTAGATGTGCTCAGTACAATTTAATCTAGATTTATAATGTTATGACATTTCATGCCTCAGCTTGCTTAAGTTGATATTGGCAACCCGGGATGTGAATTACTTATCAATAGTGCTTATATATTGGTATGATGAGCACCATCCAATGCCCAAGAGGGCAAAAGAAAGAAATTAAGAGTGTAGATTTTACCACATATAGAACTTAATTGGCCAGGTAAGAAAATGCCTAACGAATATGAACATAATGTCTCCATTTCACTCTCCCCAGGATGATATGGATTGTCCAAAGTGTCAAGAGGGATACAGACACCTGAACCAAAGATATGTGAAAATGAAAACTATACGAGCACTATTTATTTGCTCCTACAAATGTGACTGCTAGTGTTAGCACCGCTTTTGTCTAAGGAAGCCCTAGCTGCTGGAGCTGCATGGAAATCTTGGCAATTAGCATATTAAACTTAGGGGTTTAGCTCTTATTTTAAATTAAAGTTTGAAAGCATGGAGGAGAGGCAGGGACTGGAGGGAAAGCAGCTCTCCCAGACAGCCGACAACTTTGCTCTGCCTCTGTGTCGAAGCGTCCGAGCAGAGCAGGACAGAGTTGCTCTGTGTCAGAGATGAGCGGACGTCACCTGAGTGGAGCGGGAGAGGCTGGGAAAGGGGATTACACCCCAGGCTGTACACTGCAGGGGATGAGAGAACCAGAGGGGTCTTGGCACTGTCTTCAACTCCATCTCCACAACGGACTAAAGCCCTCAGGGACTAAAGTCCTGGTAGCGGAATCAGAAATGTCTTCTCCATAACAAAACCACTCCACAGTGCATGTGGCATAGCAATGCTCGTTTAGGGAATCAATATTGCAGTTGGTACTGCCCTGCAATACTTTGGTTTGAACATCAGTGTGCCCCTGTGCCTCCACAGCACCCTTTGCTCAGCCCTCTGCAGCATTACTGCAAGGGGCAGCCCAGGTCTTAAAACAAAAATACTGTTTGTGGGCACGAGTTCCCCATTTTACCAGCAAGGGAGAAGGAATGCAGAGAGACGTTCCCAAGGCGGCAGTGACTCTGGATGAGTTTTCTAGTTTCTCATCTTGTGTTCAGTCCTGAAGGGTCAAAAAAATGTGGGTATCTGCAGTATTTCTTGTTCCCGTTAGTTGCTAATCTTATTTTTTTACAGTTGTTTTCCTTTTTTTCAATCCTTATTGACCTTTTTTATATTTTGTGTTTTGTTAAAGCTTTTTTTCCTACAGCAGAGAAACTGCAAATACAACATTATCATGAGTAATGTGCTGACTTTATTTTCTTATCTACCTTAGGACATTCATTTACCCCTTCTTCACTAGAGGCAGACCTTTCCCACTGCAATTGCTTTTCTTTGGCACGTTATTCTGTATCTATAATGGCTTCCTCCAGGGGTACTACCTGATTTACTGCGCTGAATATCCCAACGATTGGTGCACTGACATCAGATTTACATCAGGTAATTAGAGCTGCAGGATTCCCAAGATCTAATCTCCAAGCAATTTGGAAGCATTTTGAATTATGTCCTAATATTCATTGAACATGTAAGTCAAATCAGTTGTGATGGAAATCAGCATAAAACCTGCCTGCTGGCCCAGATAAAACAAATAAATGTGCAGTGACTATTTTTTTGTTTTTGCTAGGCAGCCACTTTTGAGGGTGTGCGATGTAATGTGTTAGTCCCAAATCACCAGCCTTGTTTTACTTGACACCACTCCAGAGCCTCCTGCTGCTATGGGGCTGCGGAGGTGCAATCTCAGGCCTCAGCTGAACAGGGATGTGCCCTTGCTAGGCCAGAAACGTCCACCCAGCAGCGGCCCTGTGCAAGCGTAAACTGTGGCTTTCTCTTCCCTGCCAGGGAGCTTTGCACTTGATGCAGCTATTCCGACAGAGAGAGAAAAGAAGGCCAAAACCCCAGCATAAATGAAGCTTTAGAGACAAAGGGCTCTTTTTTCTTGTGTAACGCACATGGAAAGATCAGAGGTCATACTCAGTCTGGTTCTATGTTAATATGGTTCCTTTGTATTCTGTAACTTCATAGCTTATCTGAATATCACACTGTAAAATCCCTGAGACAATATGTGAGCAGGAGCAGCTAGGTGGCATTACACATTTGGTGCTGCACAGAGGATGTTTTTTAAATGCGCACATAGAAATGAAGATTAACATGGAGGTCTGAGGAAATGTTTTGGATGTGAAAAGTACGAAATAACCAAGGTACTTCCTGTACCCTGTTTCAGACTGTGTGTGCAAGTTCAGTCTTTTCTGACAGCATCACGTATTAAAAATCCTGGACATTTTTTAGTAAGAGCTCCCATGCCAAACAAAGAAAACACCACATCACATAATTTGCATGATAAATAAAATATATATTTAATGAAAAAAAAAAGGAAATCAGTATGAGCAGTACTTGAAACATTAAATAAAAAACAAACAGTATATTCTTCCTCTACAGACTCTTACCAACTTCCTGTTGCTCCTGGAAGTGTTCAGGTTTTACCAGCACTTGGTAGCACTCATCACCTCTATTTCTTTCCTTGCTTCCCAATCATTGTCAGAGGTGGTTTTCTCAGCATCTAATGTGGCATGAAATGTAGGGCATGTCACCTGCAGAGTCTCTCAATCAAAAGTCTCTAGTTTTTCAGCTAAATGGAGTATGGTCAATGAATTATTCCGGCCAGAAGCTGTCAGCATCCTTCAACAAATAACTACTCCATGTGGATGCCATAGCTCTGTCCAAGCAGCCTCGCTCGCAGTGCTGCTTGGCAGAGCTGTGCTGAGATGTAGGTTCCCTTCCTGGCTCTGGTGATGTGCTGGATAAGTTTGTGTTCTCTGTGCTCCTCTTTCCGCAGCTGTAAAATGAGAGTAATGGTACTTGCCTACAGCTCAGTGGTCGCTCTGCAGTAACGTCCACAGCAGTGGCTGGCTGCCATCAGCCAGCAGTGTATGTTGGGTACCTTGTCCCCCGGCCTTGACGTTCAATAAGTGATGACTATGGCCAGCTGGGAAGTTCAGCTTTTTCTCACACCAGCTGAAAGTGCTCTGGTCTCACCAGCAAAAGAGTGTACTCAGGATGGTCATCGTTCTGTCTAGAGCTGCTCTCCACACTGAAGCTATCCAATGCAGGTGATCCCAGGGGACTGTGATCCCACAACTGACACAGAGACAGAGGGTTATTTGTCACGAGTCATCTATGCTTCTCTTGTTCAGTAGTCTTCTCAGGAGCAGCACATCGTTTTACCTGCCTTACATTAGGTCTCCTATCTGCCTGCTCCAAAGATAAACCTCACATATATGCTTGAGCAGGGATAACTATGCAGAGCTTGCTTTCTGATCTATTTCTTGTTTGTTTCTTAGGCCTCTTCTTATTTCTGCTGGGAATGGGAATCAACATTCACAGTGATCTCCTGCTGCGCCAGCTGAGGAAACCCGGGGAAGTCACTTACAAGATTCCTCAGGGTATATTCTTATCCCCCACCTCCTTGGAGAAAATAGGGCAACAAGACAGATGATGTTTTCTGACTGAATTCACAGCAAAGCGACAATAATAGCAGAGGTGCCAGTACCGCACAGGTACTTGGTTCAGGTGCCCCTCTGAGCTGCAGACAGTCCACAAGAAGCCACAAGAGTATCTGGAAAACGTGAGCTGTGAGGAGAGGCTTCAGGAAATGGGCTGTGTGATTTAGAGAAGACTGAAGTGGGACATCATAGGAAAAGGATTTTAGCCTTGTAAAAAGCAGCTGCAAAGACAGAATGTTTCTTCTCCATGCCCAGCAAGAAGTAGAGGAATTCTTACACTGCAAAAGGGAGATTCAAAGGGTAAACTTTAAGGGGAAAAGTAACATCAAGCAAGGTGCATAATTTCCTTTCCATCTCCTTCAAGATGAGGAAGAGTGGCTGTGGGCCAGAGCGGTGCACCAGGAAATGTCTAAGCTCTGTAGAGCAATATGGATGGGAATCCAGAAGTTTCCTGGGTTTGGTGTTGACTCCTTCTGCTGACTTGTTATGGATTGTAATATCTCTCCCCCAGAGTTTCTCACCTCCAATACTTACCTGCCTCTTGTAGACATTGTGATTAGCTAAGGTGCAAAATGAGATTCAGATTTTGCATTCCCCAAAGGTAGTGGAGTTGCAAAACATTTTTTAGGGCCTGAAGAGAATTGACTAATGTTAATAATTTTAATTTAAATTAAATGGGCTTTCTTAAGTCCTTTTCCAAATTAAAATAAATGATTGCAAAAGTGCTGAAAACCTCTGGGTTAGAATCACCTTTAATTCTTGCACTTGTACAAGATCCTCCTTTGTCATGTTTCCACTGGCTTCAGGGCAGTGGGTTTAGGTTGCTGTTATGGGCTTTGAATAAGAAAGGTGGTGTGTTCTGCTGCTGACTTTATGGGAAAGAACTTTCCATGTTCATGAGATCACTGTAAAAATAGCATATTTTGTCTATTGATGCAGGGGGGCTGTTCACCTATGTTTCTGGAGCCAACTACTTTGGAGAAATTGTGGAATGGTTTGGTTTTGCCATAGCAACCTGGTCCCTACCAGCCTTCGCCTTTGCCTTTTTTACTCTTTGCTGCATCGGGCCACGTGCTTATCACCATCACAGGTACCAAACTGTTTCTTGCCGTATGCTGCTGCTTGCTCTTGTAGTGCAGTTTGCAAAAAGCCAGGGAGGGGCAGAGAAGCAGGGCCAGGATTCAAGATAAAATTGAAATTTAATACTATGTACAAGAGCTGTACCAGATTATTGGTGACTGGGTGAAAGCAAAGCAGTCGGCTGGAGCCCCTGTTGAGTCAAGTGGGCCTGATAGTTATTTAATTGAGCAGGAGTTACATCACTGCTTCCGCCATGCAAAAGCCTCTTTTTACTGAGCCTTGTAAATGTGAATCTTTCCTAAGGATTCCCTTGCAACCTCTGCAGTCCTTTGGAGTAGATGTGGTCCCCTGCTCTGCATTCCTGAAGTTTCTACTTCAGGTCTGTCAGAACCTTAACAGTATTATCAGCTTTCACTTAATTAATTAACCTGGTGTAAATAGTTTCGGAACACTCTTTTGCAGAGTAACGCACAGAGGTTACAAAGCAAGGCAGTCTGGAGGAGTTTTAAGGTTCTTCAGCTGAGCTGTATTAAAACTGTTCAGTTTCCTTGTATGCATGCAGGTTCACTCTCTTGCTTGTTTTCTTGCAGGTACTATCTCAAGACATTTACGGACTATCCAAAATCAAGGAAAGCCTTGATTCCTTTTGTTTTTTAATGACTGAAATATGGACTCTGTGTTCTGTTTTTATAGGGCTTTTTTCAATTCCTAGTTTTAATGTTAGGTCTGATTATAATTAATTGTACAAATGATAATCTGGGGTTGTAAGAGACAAGAAGGTAATTTGGAACTGAAGTTCTTGGTTTTAATTACAGGGGAAATTGCAGATAGTTGTGGGCAAAGGGACTCCCCAAACAACATGTTTGCTTGTCAGTGGCGTCCTACCTATGGAAAGTGGATATATAACTGCACTGACATCTGAGAAAAAGCATTGGCTAAAAACTGATGCAGAAAAGTAGAAAGTAAGGCCATGACTTCAGAGCAAGTCTTCAGCAGCCACTCCAGTTTCTAGCACTTCTGCAGCTGCTTCTTCCTGCCTCCATGCCGTAGCACACATGCCCTCGCTCTGCCGGCACTGCCCTGGCTGTTGCCACACTTTAAGCCAGAGTAGGGGTCTCCTTTGCAGGGAAAATAGCTCAGCCCGTTATCTTTCATCTAAAAGCCAGCTTAGCTCCCAGAACCATAAAGCAACAAGAGGACACTTGTGCCGACGCAAGGCTGGGAGCGGTGTGCCATGGCACAGAGGCGATGCAAAGTATGCAGAGACAGAAGTATCTTAAGCTGGCACTCAAAAGCACAATGTCTGTGTTCCTTCTTTAAGCAATACTCTCCTCCCTGTCAGATGATTAATTATCAGCCATCAGGGGTTTTTTTTAAATGTACTTTGTTAAAGCAATTGCAGGTACATCAGGATTTTTTTTCTCTTTCAAACCCAGAGCTTTTTTCAGAACAAAATTTGTCCACTCAAAACCACCCAATTGTTATTTATAAAGACTTGAGATGGTGATGTATGACAAAAATTACAACAGATAAAAAGCTCTGTGTTGAAGAAAATGTTCTCCAACACTGGCAGTACATTTTGTCTATGGAGAACATTTTTAGACACTCATATTAGGGAATGATAGAGATATTACTGAATTTTCACAAAAACACAGGATGTCTCTTCTTAATTTCAGAATATAGTTAGGAATTTTCCAAAAAATGTCATTAATCCCAACAGGAAGAGATGTCCCCACAGATGCGGATAGTTTTAGTTACCCTTTAGAGCATAAAATCCTGCTAAGAATTATGCTGAGTAGCTGGAAAGAAGATGACCAGACCGCACATACTAAACATACTACCTGCTGCTGGAGTAACCTGATTGACTGTACACAATTTTCTCCAAAATACAATAAAATTTATGTAAAACACAGACCTGTGCTAGCCTATCACTTACTATTTGCAGAAACAATTCTCTGTGATGTTGCTTACCAAGTCCTGCTCATGTTGGCTTCCTCCTTCTGGGCAAACCCTCCCTTTTTTCCTCATATTAATTGTCTTCATTACCGTAGAGCAGAGCGACCAGCTGAGACTGGGTCCCATTGCACTAGTCCCTGTACAGTGCACAGGAGAGCTGGACCCTTTGCCATGTGTAGGCAAAGGGAAGGGAAGGATGAAATAAGGCCCAAGCAGAGTTGTCATCGCACAGGATGTGAATTCCACATCAGCACCACAAACGTGTTGTCCTTTTGTTTCGTTATTTAAATCCTCCGTGTGGAAACACACTGGGAAGGAGGTTGCTGGGTGGGACAGAAAGGCTGGAGGTGATGAGAATGCTGGGTGGGAGGGAATGTCCTCTTCCCCAGGGAGCAGGTGCTGAGTGTGAGCAGCAGCCGTGCTCCCCAGCACTCCCTGCCTCAGCAGACCCTCCTTGATGATTCCTCTTTGCATTTCTCCCCCCTCGCTTCCCCCCCACCAAAGCCTCGCAAGCGATGAGAGAGCAAATAGCCCGCGGGTGCCAGTGTTCCTAGCTGCTGCCTCCTCCATCTATTTCTAAGCCACAGGGAGAGCAGGGACCAAGCTCTGCCTCACCCTTTGGACCAGAACAGGGCTTGTGCAGATTTCTCTGTCCCTCCTACCTACCCCTCCTGGCAGAACAGGACTATTCCCTGCATTTATTTTGTCTTGCTTAATATTTGCACCAGATGGACTGTTACTACCGCTGTTGGTCCCACGCCCGGATACTTACTCTGGGGACCATGGTGGGAGAACTGGTTCTGACCCAAGGTGGGAGATGGCCTGCCTGCAGGCTGGGAGGCCCCCACCGCCTGGCACCCCTGTACCCACCCAGCACAAGGTGCCTCGGGGTGCTTGGACGCCCTGCAGGAGCAACTCCATCCTCTCTGTCATGGGCCTTGGGGATGTTGTATGGAAAAGGGCTGCAGGCAGGGACTTCTTCCTTCTGCCCCCTCCTGTGGCATTTTTGGAGAGCAGGAGTGACACACATGCACTTTAAAGCCCCTACAAGCAACAACTGCAGTTAATCGCGATGGAGAGGAGACATGGGCTCTCCCCACGCCGAGGTCCCCCGTGGGGCTGGTAGCTGCTGCCCTCCCTGCAGGGATACCAGCCTGCCCCGCTGTGCATGAGAATGCCCCAGGGCAGCACACGTGGGGCTGCAATGCTCCTGAGAAATTTCTTCCATCGTCCCTTATTTTTATAAGGAAAAATATATTCCCTTTGACTCTGGGAGAAAAAACACAGCAGACATTTTCATACCCCTCTGCTCAAGCCTCTGGAGGCTATGTACACATATGATTTCAGAGCGGACTGTAAACTGTTTTGAAAAGTAGCACTTTTCTGACTTTCTTTGTAATGTTTTTTTGCTCTGCCAAAAACTAACAGAAGTGTCCTCTACTGGTAAGCATTTAAAATAATAGATCATTCCTTTTCTCCCCCTTTTGCAATACTGTTTTTCTGTTTAGTTTCCTCCCATCATTCACATTTTAGTTTTAATTTATCTTCGAGAAATATTTATGTCTGGGTGCTGTTCCCATGGAGAGGGTCTTCCTCAGGACAGCTCTGAGTTTTGCCGCTCTGCTAGAAAGACGTCTCTTATGTGGAGCTGATAACCCAGCCTTCATCCCGCTGGCAGCCGGCTGGGAAAATTAATCCTTTATCCGCAGGACTCTTGTTAATTTAATTATTTTTGTATTGTTCAAGTGCTTTTTTGAAAAGCTGACTTTCCGTAAACATGCACTATATTGCTGTGGTAATACACAAATAGCTTAATCATTCATCTGACAGTTTCTTCTGTGAAATGTGTTTTCTGCACCTAAGTGATCAGACAGACCACTTATTGATACCAGAATTTAGATATCTAATCTCTTCTGACAACCGAAAACAGAATTAAACGCTGTTCACTGGGAGGCAAAGAGGAGAACAATGGCACTTGCCAGCCTTCATTCCCGTCTCCATGTGCCACACACGCTTCAGCCTTCGCTTGGCTTCAGTCCATGCTTCAGACGAGAAGTCACTCGAGACAATAGAAAACTGGCTCCAGACAATGTAGGGCACTTGTAGCTATTGTTTTAAAGTACGTATTTTACATAATATATTTACACAAAAGGCAAACCCCCCCCAATTTTGGCCCTTGAGTGGCAGTCTCAGGAAAAGCACTCATCTGGGAGCTGCGCTCCTGCTCCCACTACTTTCCTGGAACACAAAGCCTCTTACGCTTGGCCAGAAGCTCTGAATGTTTCTGCAGAAATACCAAACCACAGTGTGTCCTGGAACCACAAATGCCAAGGAACTCTGCCTAGGTAGGTAGAGTGCTCTAATGGCTTGGGCTCAAGAATATCTGTTTCATACTCTTGAAGGTGTCACTGATTGAATGACAAACTTCAGCAGGTTACCACTTTTGGGGTTGTTTTCCTTTCTATTGCTTGTCTGTGGAAATGGTCTTGAAGGCCAGGATTTGTTTTCATAGTACTTGGCAAAGCAGCCCCAAACTCAGCTGAGGCCTGTAGATACAATACAAATAAGACACAGCCTGTTGCATATTCTTGGGAGACAGAGTTATGATATTGCAAAATATTCTGAAGACATACAAAATATCCAAATGCACTAAAATACATCTTAAGGAGATATTTCTGTGATAATTTGTCACAGAAAAAGGCTAATTGGAGCCTTCAACATAAGATGGACATGAACCTGTTGGAGCAGGTCCAGAGGAGGGCCACGAAGATGATCAGAGGGCTGGAGCACCTCTCCTATGAGGACAGGCTGAGAGAGTTGGGGTTGTTCAGCCTGGGGAAGAGAAGGCTCTGGGGAGACCTCATAGCCGCCTTCCAGGATCTGAAGGGGGCCTGCAAGAAGGCTGGAGAGGGACTTTTTACAAGGGCATGCAGTGATAGGACAAGGGGTAATGGCTTCAAACTGGAAGAGGGGAGATTGAGAATAGATATTAGGAAAAAAATTTTCACTCTGAGGGTGGTGAGACACTGGAACAGGCTGCCCAGGGAAGTTGTGGATGCTCCATCCTTGGAGGTATTGAAGGGCAGGTTGGATGGGGCTTTGAGAAACCTGGTCTAGTGGGAGGTGTCCCTGCCCATGGCAGGGGGGTTGGAACCAGACGATCTTTAAGGTTCCTTCCAACCCAAACCATTCTATGAGTCTATTATAATACATGTCACACATTGAATCTTAGAATCATTTGCTGACAGCAGATTTGTAGTTGATTCACTTGTCAAATTAACAAAATCTTTTTAATGCAAATCGCCATAGAGTCTGATTTAAATCCAAGCATAATCCTGGAAGCCTCATATCCTCCCTCCTGCCATGTCTGGAGTTCTCCTGAAGTAGCCTAATTTCTCAAAGCAGGCTTTTCTAGAGTCATCTCCTCTCAAACCCAAACACTGCCATCCCTGCATGAGTAATGTGATCTAGGCAACACAAACATCTGACACTAGTTCAGGGCCAGGGACTGCTGGTTCCACATGAGTAGTACCATACTCTGTGAGTAAGGTATTGATGGCCACTGAGCTGCTCAAGAACATGCCATTACTCACTACAAATGGAGAGAGCGAGTTTGATCTCTGTGGGAGCAAAGTCGGTGGGCAGACATCAAGAAGTGCCTAATAGTAATACCTGGAAAGTAAAGAAAGATGTTCAGGTCT